TCCCTCAGCTCTTCAGCTTAAGGCGAGCACTCTACCACTTGAGCTACAGCAACACTTCCGGTTTTCTGGTGGATTATTGGAGATAGGAGTCTCACGGTCTCTCCTGCCCGGGCTGGCTTTGAACCACGATCCTCAGATCTCAGCCTCCTGAGTAGCTAGGATTACAGGCGTGAGCCACCAGCGCCCGGTGCCCCTAGGTTTTTTTTGGCTGGTTGTGGGGTTTGAACTTTGGGCCTGAGCACTGTCCCTCAGCTCTTTAGCTCAAGGCAAGCACTCTACCAATTGAGCCACAGCACCACTTCCAGTTTTCTGGTGGTTTATTGGAGATAAAGAGTCTCACAGACATTCCTCCCCGGGCTGGCTTTAAACCGCAATCCTCAGATCTCAGCCACCTGAATAGTTTAAGATTTTATGCATGAGCCACCAGTGCCCGACTCTTTCTTAGTTTTGAATCCAGGTCTCCCTATATAGTCCAGCTGGCCTTGAACTCAACTCTGAGCTCAGCCTGGCTTCAAACTCACAGTCCTCTTACCTATCTTCCCTAGAGCTGTGATTATAGCCGTGAGCCACCATGTTCTCCTAATTTTATAATTATCTTAGAAAACATGCACAAATTGAATAAAAAACAAAAAGGAATACTGAGAAAGAGGGTTTGTTTTTGTGTAAGTACTCTATCAAAGAGCTAAAACTCTAGCACTAAATAAGTGTTTTATTACAATACAAAAGACATAAGAGTAATAACTACTACTAGGCACTTACTTGGCGCCATTCCTTATGCCAGTCACTTTCCAAACATAATTTTCCTAAGTACCTGGTAAAGAGAATAGCATAAGCTCCACTTCACAAATGAATTGGGTACTGGTGGCCCACACTTATAATCCTAGCTACTCAGGAGGCTTCAGCTCTGAGGAATGCTGATGAAAGCCAGACAGGGCAGAAAAATCTGTGAGACTTTTTAATTAACCACCAAAAAAGCCAAAAATGGAGTTCTGGCTTGTGTGGTAGAGCACTAGCCCTGAGCAAAAGAGCTCAGAGATGGCACCTAGGCCCTGAGCTCAAGCTCCAGAACCAGCACAAGAAAAATAAAAAAGAATAATAAGAAATGGGCTGTAAGAAATCAAACAGGGAAGAAGAAGGTAATTAGAGCTGCCAAAAGGCAGAATCTGATTTAAGTCCAATGCAGAAATAAATATCTCTCTTCTAGAGCTGCTACCACATGAATACATAAATCTCAGGAGCAAAAGCCTGGTCTTGGCACAAAAGTTCCTCTGACTGCGCTTTTCCCAGCAGTCCTGAAGGAGCAGTCATGGAGATACTTGAGGGAAACAGAAAACTAAGACCATGTACCTAGATGCAGCTGGACATCCTTCACCTCCAGGGTACTTGACTTGCGATGCCGTGCGAGCTGACAGGCTGCTGTCACCACACTCTCAATAAAATCATCAGCGATCTGCAGCAGCATCTGGAGAAGGCAGAGTAGTGGAAAGTCATGTGATATCGACAGAGTACGCTCCTGTTGCTGGGAAAACTGCTTTTCTGTCTGATTCCCAGTCAAGTTTCTTTTCGTAAGCAATACCCTCAGCCTTTTTTAGGCAGGCTTTCTATCAGCATTGGGGTCATGGTGGGGATAAGGATCGAGGAGGACAATATACATTATCCAGGCCAAGTGCAACTCATCTTAAGGTTATACTTTTGGTATTTTCTATATTTTTAATTTCTATAATCCCTAACTCATATGTATGCACTTTATACATTATATATGTATTTTTTTCCTAAGTGGGAAAACAAGAGTGAACAGTTTGCAGCCACTGGTGGCTCATGCCTGTAATCCTAGCTACTCAGGAGGCTGAGATCTAAGGATTGCAGTTCAAAGCCAGCCCAGGTAGGAAAGTCCGTGAGACTTTTATCTCCAGTAAAAAAACATAGAAAACCAGAAGTGGTTCTGTGGCTCAAGTGGTAGAATGCTAGCCTTGAGTTGAAGAGCTGAAGGACAGCGCCCAGGCCCAGAGTTCAGGCCCCATAACCAAAAAACAAAACAAAAGAACAACAACAAAGAATATTATATGCCAATCTCGGATGAAAAAATTCTCAAACCAGCTGGGTGCCAGTGGCTCATACCTGTAATCCTAGCTACTCAGGAGGCTGAGATCTGAGGATCTCAGTTCAAAGCCATCCTGGGCAGGAAACTCCGTGAGACTCTTTTCTGTAATAAACCACTAGAAAACTGGAAGTGGCGTTGTGGCTCAAGCAGTAGATTGCTCGCCTTGAGCTGAAGAGCGCAGGGACAGCACCCAAGCCCAGAGTTCAAGCCCCATGACCGACAAAAAAAAAGTCCAGGCACATGAACTTGAGAGATTCATACCTCTAATTAACCAGCAAAAAGCTGGAAGTGGAGTAACTCCAGTGGTAGAGTGCCAGCTTAAGCAAAAAAGCTAAGCAAGAATGTGAGACCCTGAATTGAACCAGTACCAGCACTTAGTTAATAATTAATCAATAAAGTGTAACACAGTTTAGGCATAGATCATGACATAAGGCTAGAGAAAGTCAAGGTAGGGACATGGCTCAGTGACAGAGTGTTTGAGCACTTGTCTACCACATGCAAATCCCTGGGTTTCTTCTCTGGTACTGAAAACCAACAACAAACAAATACTAAGCATTCTCTTAGGTGATCTGTATAAATTCTTCCTTGGGATTTTCACAGTAATCCTGTAGAGAAATAATATGCCACTCTACCAACATAGGGGGAGCTATGTCTCAGAAAGCTTGCATTACTCATCCAAAGCTATACAGCTGGTAAGTGGCAAAGCCAACATTGAACTTCACATGTATCTCCCACTGAATTTCCTCTTAACTACTACAGGGCTGGGAAGGTGGCTCAGTGGTAGAGCGCTTGCCTTGCATGCATGAGGCCCTGGGTTCGATTCCTCAGCACCACATAAACAAAAA